CACATACTAATTTCCATTTTAAAACAAATTGTTAGAAAAAAGCATTACAGGGGGAAAAGTTCTTTAAGTAATTACCCAAAACGTGCCTTGCAAAAGAAAAGACTCATTTCATATTCTCTGCTTTCTCTTTGAACCACTTTTCAGGGTTTACTTTTCCATTTGCCTTAAATACAATCGGTTGAACTTTTGTCCCTAAACTGAAAATGTAGTGTGGTAAATTGTGTTTGATTACCCAACTATTATTTTCACCCCACTTAACCTGCTCATTACAGAAAGTCACAAGTTCTTTTGCTGAACCATTGCCAGTGCTTACCCTTAATCTTTGAACATTGTACATGTTCTCATCTTCTTTTTCACATTAAATCCCAGTAAGTTACTGCATTTTCCTAATTGCTGGTCATTATTTAGTTAAGTCAAACTTCTAATGTGTTAATTTAAATGTTAGTGGATGTACTTGATAAAACAGAAACATCTTAAACATGACAACAAAAAAAAACCCCAACATGATGCACAGAGCAATTGTGCTTTATCTGTTTTTTAATAACATGTAGTATACATTACTGCCAAATCCTTAAACCTTGCTCTGTTTTCTTACATAATTCAAAACAACATGTATTCATTTGGTGTAAATGTGATGTTTTTTGTAATATTTTGTATATATGTAATAAATTTGCGCCTTCTGCTGCATATTCAGTAAAAGTCGTTTGTTTTTCAAGTCATTTTACATCATTGAATATAAAACCAACGGGCGGTGATATTTATATGTAATCCCATGCCAATTACCTACTTTAGATTTTTAAGATGACAGGCCTACCCTGCTTCCAGCTGTTGCATCATTGTTACCTCCTCTCCATCATTCATGTTCTCCAAGCAGAATGCTCATCTGTTCCACAACTGGATTTCCCACTCACTGAATCCTTTGGGCTACAGATGTTCCCTGAGCCAACATTGTTGGGTATAAAGCTTTCCCAAAGTCTTGCAGATATTCAACAGCTGTCAGGAATCTGAGACAGATACATATTTTGAATGGATATTAAAGGCTACACTGCATAAAAAGCCCACTTTAATATGTTATTTAAACTAACAGTATCAAATGCATTTTTTTCTAAGGGTACCTGCATGACAAAGTAGCATTACTACTAGGGTGCAACCGTTCGATACAGTGGTTTCGGTTCGGTACGCATATGTATCGAACAATACAACATTTTTTATTTATTTTATCAACTTTTCTTCTGACAATGCTGTCTGTGTTGAGCGCTCAGTGGATCTGCGTTCGACTATTCCGCCTAGGCTGCACTGTGGAGTGCAGATCCACTGAGCGCAGCGCAAGCTAGCAAGACAGAAGCTAAGCTCGTTGCAACATGGCAAATGCCTCAACACAACCCAAAATTGAACCTCCCCCACCCTCATTCAGATCTGGCGTTTGGAACTATCTTGGTTTTCATGTGAAGTATGACCCTGAAGGTAAGCGCATCATGGACAAAAGTAAAACAGTGTGTCGGATGTGCAACTCAATGCTCAATTTGTGGGAACTAGTGCGTTAGCTCAGTTAGCTTGTATTGACCCTGTCCAGCCCCAAGCACGGGGCCATCCGTGGTAACTCGTTAACGGAGATTTGCCGCGTTATGGCGTTAATGTCATTTTAACGAGATTAACGCTGACAGCACTAGTGGGAACACAACGAATATGACTGCACATTCACGCTGACATCATCCTAGTGCAAACACAAGTGGAAGCAGACAAAAACAACAAGCACGCATGCGACAAACTTTACCTGAGTCATTTAGACAGCCGTTAGCACATGATTCTCCTTATGGGGACCTGATATGTTTAATATGCTGCTGAGAATATACCCCAGAAAAAGCGTATAGTATAGCTTTTATTTTGGAAAGAGCCATTTCTCTGTAATAAACTCTCTTTGAGTGATTTCTCAATCAGATAGATTTATTTTTTTTATTTTGTTGTTTCAGCAACATTAAATTTAAAAACTGTACTTTTGAGATAAATATATATTTATAATTTTAATAAATGATAAATTAAAAAGGCATGAACATTTTTTGTATTGAAAAAATATTGAACCGTGACACCAAAGTATCGAACCGAACCGTAAATTCTGTGTATTGTTGCACCCCTAATTACTACAGGTGTACTAGTAAAGTTCCACATTTTAAATTTTATTTCAGTAAAGCAACAACAATATAATATAACTACACAATTACTTAAACAATAGCATTAATATGATTGTTATTTAGATTTAAATGCATTATTTTTCCATATATATTATGTAATATTTATTAAGTATTAATACTGCGGGAAAGCCTCAAATGATACTCAATAATATATGATCAATATTAATGCACTGATACATTAACGTGTAGACATTTAATATTAATGTAATCATTCTGATATTCTGATATTGCACCTTAATTAATATATGAATTTATTATAATCATTATAAAAGATAATAAAGACATGAAGAGAACAATGCTGTGTTATAGAGATATTTTGCAAAATAAATGTTGTGACGTGAACCAAAAACATTTTCCAGAAACTGTAATGATTTCTATACTATCTTATAACAAAAAACAACCAAAGTACAAAACTGAAGCTTTTTGGAAACTTTTTGGGAACCAAAGTATAACAAAGTCATTTCTATTAAATTGCATTTAATAACAGCACGTGTATACATTTACTTAGTTATTAACATATGCTGAAGTGTGGAGTTAAGCTATTTCACACAAAGCTAAACAATAAGTAAATTAAATGTCTGTTAAAATGTTGACATTAAAAGACTTTAGTTATACATTTTTACAGCTGCATCACTGATTCACTGATTTGTGGGGATATAACATCAAGATAAAAATTATGCCATTCTCCAGAAAAAATGTGCACTAAAAACTACGTCAAAGATGGCATGGCACCGATAGAAGAATATCAGCACGAGCCTGCAAGTCCCATAAGCCTTTGCCAGGACGTTCCCCCCAGGAGTCCTCAACTCATGTTCCACAGTTTTGTAATGCCATAAAGGATGAAGAGTGTTTCCCCAGGCTCCCAAACTTTTCTGCTTTGCTGTGTGGCATGCTGTTTCATCAGTGTCGTTTAGGTGATTTTTCCTCTTGAGTAACCACCTAGTTGTGGAGGTGGGTGAAGGTTGTCGTGAAAGGGAGCTCTCTTGGCTGGGTGCCAGAGTGTGTTTCTGGCTTTTGGGGATGATGGGTGCTAGGCATGCCGGGTATCATCTGTATGTGTAGGTGTGTGTGTGAGTGTATGTGTGTGTCTTCTCCCATGGGGATCCTTGGCAGTAGGTGTGACATGTAGTAATGAGAAATTATGCTGCACAGTGCAAAACCTCTTCTGAACGGGGGTCACCCATTGTCAGCTCTGCCAAGCGCGTAACAGAGCAACAACTTACCCTTTAATGAAAGCTGTCACATTTTTTAGGAGACTTACTTACTAGTTACTATTTATTTATATTCTGTTTTCCTGAATTTTCTGACTCAAAAGTATCCACAAATATGTGTTACAGTTCCAGCTCATTGTCAGAGTTTTATAATCACTTGTCACCTTAAATGTACGGGCACTGTTGGGCACTTCAGTAGCTATGAAAGTGGTCATTTATTATTAGAAAGCATTACTTCTATGCAATTGTTTTTTTTTTACTTTGCACATTACACATGCACATTAACAATGTTGCCGTTTTGTTTTGCTTAGTCCAGTGTACTTTGTCATAATTAAAATGGATGAATTAGATGAAAACACTAAAAAAACACAAGCCACGTGGCAGACATTCTATTGACATAAACATTGATGACATAAGTTCACTAAATCTAATCTAAAGGGGTTGTCACGTAAAAAAGTAAAGTTTTAATCTTCTCAGCATTTAATGAGTCCAAGGATATAGAACTGCTTAATTTAGAGTGCTACATTTTAACTGTCAGGATATACGAATTCTATTTTAATATAATAACACATTAAGTCTTATATTAGGTGTCATATTTTTGCCATATATTCAATGAAACTACTCCTGCGAATTTTTTAATTATTTGTAACATTTACACACTGAAACTCAGGCGCTACGCTGGTGTCACCTGTTCACAACGCGACTACAGTTGAGTTATCCAATTAAAAGCTGATCTGTATTTAAGTTACATTTTGTAACAACTCTCTGTTCACTTTTGTATGCAAAGCATTTTTTCTGCTCACCTTGAATGACTTTATACAAGTCAAGTGTTCTCCTTTCAGAGGTGTACTGTACTATGAAACAATTGTCATTCCTATTTGTAAAGTCAACACTGAAAACTTTGAAAAGTATTCACAAGAACAAAGAAGAGAATCAAGGAAAGGTGACTCTCCAGATTTTGTTTGCGTACAGCTGAAGTGCTCGCTCAATTTTGTCCTCTCTTGGCTCTCTGCTGTACTCGTGTGTCTACCTCAACTCCACCCTTAGTGAAACAAACTCATCAAACTCCAGCTTTGGTTCATCCATATCACAGACAAAGAGAGAAAAGAGAGTGACAAAGTCGGTGATATAACCTGGCCACTATGTTATTTTCAGTTGAACCCTCACACTCTGGAAGCTGTTACTGGTTGGGTACTGAACCAGCACATTTGTAAAAGGGCAAAAGAATGAAACTGGGTCTCTACAGACAAATGTGTTACCAATCTCTTCTAGGGTGTTTTAAGTGATGAATGAGATGGATTTCTTTTGTAGTTTATGCATTTAATCATAGATGAATATTATTTAATGTAATATATACCAATATAATCAAATGTTTGACATGCACAAAAAGTTTAAATCACCACAATGACATATGATTTTAGCTTTTAGTTTGTGTTTTGATCTCTCAAGACAGTTAAGTACAATAAAAAACACAACTTGCAATTACATGTGCACTTTAAATCTGAAAACTCTCTGTTACTGTAATTCCCCCCTTCCTTTCATTAAACATTAACAGTGGTGTGTAATAAGCTTTTCTTTCTCCTGTCTCCTGATACTGCAGGATGTGCCTTTCTAACATACTGTGCCAGAGAGTCAGCACTGAAGGCCCAGAGCGCCCTCCATGAACAGAAGACTCTGCCAGGGGTAAGTGCCCCCAATCTGCCCTCTGTCATAGGCTATAGCCCTTGGGGCAGCCAGCCTGGCATGGGAACCTGCATTAACATAGGAATTATATCACACACACACACACCACCAGAGTAAGGCACATGGGGACAGGGTATACATTAAGACACAGAGACACACGCAGATATGGAAAACAGATGAAGGGAGTCGCTCATACTTTCTCAGACTCCCTCTTAGGCTCTGTTTCTTGCTCATTCTAACACCCATTCTTTTTCGCTTAATTACACACGCAAACTTGCACAGACATACTAAAAGAGTGTGAGTGGCCTATCTCACCTTGCAGTGTCTTATTACACTAATCACCCCGCCGGAGATATTTGATAAGCGCTTCTTCATACCAGCCCGTGCCGTCCTTCTCTTGTCCTCTCACAATATGGCTGCCACAGACAATAATTGCCTTGAGGAATCCCACTCTCATTATCACATATAATCAAACAGTAAGTATAAACAATCATTTTTATCATGTATATCACCATCTGGTGTTTTTGTTTTAATTCTCCTCACATTTTTTTTTCACTGTTTGCCTTTGGCGGGCAGGTAACTTTTTCAATTAAAATAATGGGCTCTTCAAACGACACAGGTAAACGGTACCCAGTAGTGGGCTCTTAAGCCTACCCAGGAGGAGACCCTCAATCTGGGATGAGTGTGAGCTTGTGGTGTCTTTCTTTATTTGATGCGTGCAAGGGGACTTTGACTCACACATCAGGGGAATTATCAAGGTGTGACTGAATTATGCTTGCGTGTTCCTAAGAAGAAGACTCCCCCCCCCCCTCATTTACTTTCAACACTAAAATGTCCTCCCAGGTTGGGGCTTTAATCAGAGCCCAAGGATTGTCGTCTCAATCTCTAGGGAGAAAAAGAGGTAAAGAGACACTATAGGAGATGACACAGTAAGGAAAGGTGGAAGAAAGTAAGCAAAATGAATGGTTTATCAAGTTGGGGGGAAGCGGTAGTTGTAGCATTTGGGTCAGGCTTGCAATGGTTTAACTCTGTTGGGTTAACAATTTGTTTGCGCTTGACTGCATATCATAAATACCTTTCTGAATGTTAGACACACTGGTATACTGTAGAGAAAGTATCCCTGGGAGACCGGGCTCCCTGGCTCCTTACCACCTCCCGCAGCTTCATAATGAGATGATTGTCATGATGGTCCTGGATAGGTGTTCTGTCTTTATTGCCCTCATGGAGGGACATTATTGTTTGTCTTCTATCTAGAAAGAGGTTAATGGCATGTTCTTTGGGGTTTGAGTAAACATTTCCCCTGTGCAGCTCACAGTGAGGGGTCAGTCCTGCAATCTCAGGCTGAGCACAGACTGCATACAGAGGACTAATAAAGACGTTCTGTCTTTTCCTCTCTCTCGCTCTCTTTCTCCCTGTCTTTGCCTCTCTCTCTCTGTGCATGTGTGTGTGCCCATGTGTGTATGAGACACATAAAGTGAGAGAGATATAGGGAAAGAGACAATGGTGGAAATAATAATGCAAGAGAAACAAAGACAGACAGAGGCTGGGAGAGGTGACACTTCTGGACAAGCTTCATTGTCACTGTCATGGCCTGATGGTTTGAGATGCCCAGTTGTATAATGCTGCCATTTTAGTGGCGTCTCACCACAGTGCTACAGACATGATTGCTCATTTCAGCAGTGGCTATGTTACTGTCAGGTAACCAAATGTAAATTTGTTCATATGAGACATGTGGCTTAAAAAAGGTAGCTGTGACTCAGGGTCATCTGCTGATCGGAGGCTTGATAGACTACTCAGCATGTCATGTTAAAGTGTCTTTGAGTAAAATACTGAACCCTGAGTTACCCCGAATCCATTAGAATGTGACTGTGGATGTTATATTAATAGTGCTTGGGCGAATGGGTGAATGGCTGTTGTAGTTGTAAAGCACTTTGAGTGCTCTAATAGAGTAGAAAAGCACTATATAAGAACCAGTCAATTTACTCTCTATCTCACAGGGATGGATATGGAACAAATAATATAGATATTGAAGCTTATAATTTAGTTAAATGACACTTGCAAGAGGAACCACTGCATTGTTATTTTGAAATGTGACCTGACAGCCATGAACCTAATGAATTATGTTAATCTATTTTTATAGATGTGTATAGTTTGCAGTGTATAGTCTGCATTGCCAAGTCTTTGGTTGGTTTCCTTATTTAGAACTGAAAGTGAATATACTTCTCTGTAAAATTCTGCATGATTAGAAAAACACACAAATAACAAAATCAGCAAGCAAACTAAAAAACAATATTAAAAAATGAAGCCAGAACATTGTGAGCATAATTTGAGTCTTTTAGGCATCTGCATCTGTGAACCTGTGAATAGTCCCAAGTGAACAGAGCGCACAGGTCACAAGAGCTTCCCAGTTCTTAATGAGTCCTTGAGTTCTCCTTTTATTGCTTTTATTGGCTACATTATGATTTGCTCAAGGATGATTAGCTGAAAGAAAAAGAAAACAGAAAGACAACATTGACTAGGTAATGTCGCAGGCATAATTCATGAAGAAGACTGAGTAAATATTATCAATAACTGTTTTATTATAGCCGATTGCTGCAGTGGACGCTATAGACTTGGCTGGCTTTCCCAACACGTGTTGTAAACTTAAAAGCCCATTTATTAATTTAAAGGGGTAATGGATATTTACAAAGATAACAAAATGCATACTTGTCCTAAATGCGCTGTTATCTTACCACACAACATATTTCTTTTATTTTACAAGAAAAGTCCAGATATTTTCATGCCACTACATTCTTTGCATTTTTCAGCATGAGAAGATTATAGGTAACAGTGTGAACAGGCAGGAGGAACAGATTATATTGCATAGTATCAGCACTATCACATTAAGATTAACGATGACTTTTACATTTTTCAAAAAAAAGTTTTGTAGTGTTCACTGTACATCAGTTGCCACTGGGGAATCGGGCTCTGTCATCTATGGCTAAAGGGATCTTTGTTTATATTGTTTGATTAATTGCATGTAAAGAGCATAATGAGCTCTTGATGTCCTGTGCAACAGATCCTGCTGTTACAGTTTGTATAGTAAATGTAATCAGAGATTGAGTCTCTTGCCCTTGGTGAGCTCATTGTGCTGTTGTATTTGCACTTACATGCGGCATATTCCTCAGTATAAGGCAGGATAGTACTGAATGTAGACCGGTTAGGCTATTCCTGTGAATGATTATGTTTACATAAGTCCAGTGTTATTATCCCATTAATTCTTTGTTATCAGTTGTTATTATGCCAATGAATTATACGAGATCACCTACACCACCATCAGTCTCAACAGGCTGTTATTACCTTATGGTGGTGATGCCAAATTGTAGTGCTTTGCAGTTTTTATTTCTTTGGTTTGTTTGGTCACCAAAACTGTCTGGTTAGTCTTTGGAAAAGATAGCAGTTTAAGTTTAATTTGTCACACAGAACCTTTCTCTTCACGTCTACTTGAGGCAGTAAGTTAGGACAACAGATTATTAGTGAGTCTTTTAGAGGCTTTGGGTAGGCAATGCCTGTGTAAATTTTACATGCAGTTCTACAAAGAAGGCCAGTGGTCATCTTTGTAATTTGGACATCTTTCTCTTAGTCATATCTATTGAAGTTAATGCAACTGAGAACGGCCATTTAATAGGGTAACAACATTTGGGATATTTCCCTTCAGATCTGATTGACTCCTAGAAGATTTCTACACTGTTAAAATATAGTTCAAGACTTTCTTTTTTTTTTTTTTTTTAAATCAATGCAATTTTTGTTGACAGGTAAATTGTTGATTACAGAAAAAAAATGCTGATGACCAAATACTTTTCTCTGATTGCCCATAAAGCTTATAGCGGCCATGATTCTGTCTTTGTTATGCATCTGGCAATAAAGGCTGCAAGGAAGTATAAATAATACTTGCAGGAGCAGAGTGTTATTTACAACTTTTTGCCAAATAGCCTTCCAACATAGTCCTACTGGAACTATGAATTTTCAAGTGAGCCTTGTGCTCTCCTTTTAGGGCAGTGCTCCTTTCACCTATAAGGCCAATTAGCTCTTAGTGTTCACATGTAACAAGCCTGCTAATTGGGTGCGACTGAAGCCCAAATGCCAATTAAAAACTTCTAGGCAAAAAAATATCTCTGTTTCTTGTTCATTTCACCATGCATTTTCCTATCACACTCACTACTGTTTTCCCTTTACTCTATGTTGTTATGGCCCGTCTAGGCGCGGCCAGACCACAACATAAAGGGTCATCCATCCCCGTCCAACCCCAAGCAGCACGTCACACAATGAATACTTTGTGACAGGGAATTATTTACAATGAGTGAATTTAAACAAAGGAAGGGAGCGAATTATAACTTCGGGGTGAACCCAAGGCCAAAACAACAAACAAAAAGTTTGTTGTATTTACTCTCAGGAGTAAATACAACTTACCTAGTCAAAAGAACTAAACCAAACGACAATTACTACCCTCCCTACCTAACAAAAACAGGAGGAAACTAATCAAACAAAACGGCGGACCACCCCTACATGCTCCTACATTAAACCAACATAGTGAAACACACGGTCTGCTGGTTGGGTTGGGCCGAGGATGAATGACCTGGCAGTCCCTGACGGTGTCTTCTTATGCGCTGCCTCCCGGTCGTTAGTCAGTCAGTACGATCCATCCACCCTGGATGCACCAATCACGGAGGAGCACCTGCACACTCAAATTTACATATTATAATTACAACAACAGTCGTAACAATGTGAACTTGTAGAATATATATGTATTAACTATGGGACGGTGGGGTCGGACCCCTACATAGCACTTGTTATTTGCTTACAATTTTCAGCTGAAGAATCCTCATTTCTTGGTTTCTGAGTGAAAGTACCAGCAGCATCAGCCTCCTGTATTGACAAGGCAACCAAGCACAACAGTGGAGAAGATATGAAAACAGTTACAAACTCATTCAGAAGTGTTTCACTTCAAATATGAAAGGGTA